TGGTGCGTTTTTATAGGTGATACCTGAGGGTAGTGAGGAACAGCGGCCTGCTGCCCAGCAGAATGCCTGCTAAGTGCACCGAGCAGTACCTGCTGTTTGAAGGATGCAGTAACCTTACCACAGTGGGGAGACCCGCCCCCCTTCCCCCCCCCAGCAGCTTCCCCAAGGCTCATTCCTCTTCCAGTCTGACCATCCTGTTAGAATTACAACCCTCTCTTCCTTCCGCTGAGACCATGAGAGCAGGAAATGAAGCTACAGATCGAATTGAGGGGCCTCAACTCAGCCTCCCCAAACTTATTTATTAAGGGGTTCTGAGAAAGCTGTTCACAGTACCGCCACAGACGGTGCTCCGTCTGGCAACAGCGAGGCTGTCGCAACATCGTCATCTCAGCAGAACGGCTCTTCAGCGCTCTGACTTGCTCAGTCGGCTGAACAGCAGCTCGCCGGAAGGGAGACGGTCCTCGGAGCGGTCCCCTTTCTCCAGAGCAGAGGTGAGCCTACCTCAGACTGCGGGGCTCTCTTTGCCAAGTCCCAACAGCAAGCTGCGAGTCTGGTCATAAGCACCGAGAAAGATGAACCCTCCCAGACTGATTGCTGCCATTCGAGGGAGGACACCTGCAAATAGTCTACATGGGGAGAAAGCAAGATTTTAAAAAAATTACGTGTGTAAGAAAGGTTAAATTCTAACACTCACAGCTTGCTCGATTCCACATACTATGCTCATTAACCACCACACAGCACCCGAAATGTGTTTTCCTTTCAGAATGGCACTACGTTATATTCCCAAGTAGACTTGTTGAAGTCTGAGCCCAACTGTCTGCTGGCGACAGTGGCTAAATACCAAACCACTGACTTGTGAGCACTCACAGTTAGGGTGGCATCAGTCAGCAAACAGTCACTTGTCCCCACAATGGTCTTGCTTAAAAGCGCCAGACCATTCTTGCCTTTCAGAGCTGATGAACTTGACTTTTTTGTAAAGGAGTTTAAGGGCTGACTCCTAGGGAACGCTGCGGGGGGTGCAGCCCACCCTGGAGATCGGGAGATGTTCAGATAACTGCTGCTCCGCCCTTAGAGACCCACGAAAACGGTGCCACAACAGAGAGCGGAGTCTGCAGGGATTCCCATTTCTTTCCCCCTCTGCAAAGGGCAGGACAGGCAACACACAACTGGGCTGCAGGGCGAAGGGAGCAGCTGCTCCCCAGGCACCGCACAAGGCCGCCCACTGTCGGAACCACTTCCTGGAAATGACCAGACAAACGCAAAACGGAAGAACACCTCACTGGGGAGGTAAGTGGGGATTTGTTGCTGGAAATTCAGTCCTCCTAGAGCCATACACAGGTATTTGTTCAAACATGTTCATCATAATGCTGCTGGTAACCCACAAACCACAGAGAACCCCTCTGGTGACATACATTCTGGTCCAATATCCACACAGGGGGACCATATCATGGATAAAAGATATTACTCTGTAAACAGGAAAACAAAGTCAGAACCAGTGACTTTCCAAAACTCTGGCTCAGCCCATAGCAGCCTGTCTCTGAGGCAGGAACAGCCTCCACACACTAAATGGAGGCCCCCGAGACATGGGCAGGAGGGAGAGCCCTGCCCCAGGTGACCGTGCCCCGGCTGCCTCCTCCTCGGAGGCGCGGGCGGGTGGCAACAGGCCTCCCCTTGTATGTAGCCCTTACCGAGGAGAATGGACATCAGAGGAGTTCGGGGCCCTTGTTAGCTAACTAAGTATTTAAATCATTAAGTAAAATAAAGATACAAGTAGGACCTCTTTTTCCTGTCTAGAAATAACCATGAGAATTCTAAGAAAACCAAAATACACTTGTAAGAAAACAAGAACTTCAGCTTAGTATCATGCAAACTGCTCTGGCACGAGGTGGCAGTTGAAATGCATCAATTGCTGCTTTGAGGCAACTGGGTCATTCTGGCCCCAAAAACCAGGTTGACCGCCCTGGCCCTACTCGGACAGAGGGAAGAGCACTAGAAGGGGGTCCGCGGAAGACCACTGTCACCACAACATTCTCCCCTCCTCACTCCCCGACTTATTTCTAAGACCAGTGTCTTGGTTCAGCTTTACTGCCAATAAGCTCAGCAGCTCGTGGCAAGAGGCAGATGGAAGCAGTTTATAGTTTCACGAGATGACAACTGCCTCTGTTAACATAATGACAGCCTTACAGCAGAGTATTTGTACAGTGAGCGCCCCAACCAAACTCGGAGGCAGCGACTGCGAGGCAGACCGCGGCTGTGTTCTGGGACCACAGAGCAAACGGGTAACAACTGCAACCCCCTGAGCCAAGGGGCGCCCACACGGCAGGGTGCTTAGGGCCTGAGGGGCACCATCTACAGAAACAAGGTGGGAGGAAGCAATGGAGGCTAAGAGGACTTTGCACCTGCTTTCCGGCTACCGGGCTGAGTGAGCACGTGCTGTGCTCTTATCTGGGAGAAACCGGCTTGTCCCAGAGCATGTGTTCCCAACTGTGCTGAACAGGGCCTTCCCCATGTGAACCTGAAGACACGAAGGCGTCACCGCTTCACCCGGAGAGGTCAGCACCACCACACGTGGGGAGCCTGCATCTCCGAGGGAGGCCGAATTCTCAGGAAACTTGACCGGCATGTCCACGGGTGGCAGAAAGCTAGCAATGCCTGCGTGGGGGCACCGGCCAGAGGAGGCGCGCTGGGGGCACCTGGGACCAGGCCACAAAACAGCTGCCCACGCTTGCAGTTGGGGTTTCTTCTTTGCTTTTGGTTACAAATTCTTATCAAATCATTTGTCTTTTTCTTACATTAATAGGAAGCTAATAAAAACTACCAGTTCTTACATGACAAACTTGGCTGCTAGGAACACTCTGCTAAGGACCACACTGTGCACACCACTGGGAGCCCAAGTGATGAACATAGGCAAAAATCCAAATCGCTTTTCCTTTCTGGGCTGATGGTGGGGACAGATGGGCCCTTGGCATGTGTATGTCACCCCATCCTTTGCCTGCAATTCTGGCCCTGCCTAGTTACGTAAGGTCAAGTACACGACCCAGACAGGGTATTTCATTTCAGTCGCCTACTAAAGGCAATTCCTTTTCTACAAGATTCCAGTGGCCACAGTATTGACAGTGATGCACAACCACATAGAGCCACTTTCTCAAGGAAGGTGGATGGGCTGCAGCTCAATGCGGACTCCACGGAGCTTAAGTCAAGAGCAGAGGTTTGACCGATAGTCGCCATAGACTGATTTAAACTTCATCAAAATTCATAAGACAGTAAAATTCAGTGATTCAGCGTTGATCTAAAAAAGCTACTGCATGCTACATCTCTGTGCCCCAGAACTATCTGCAACACTAAGAATCTTCTACCTGCTACTAAGCAGACTGCTTCAGAGCTCATCTTTTTCTCATACTGTTTTTCTTTGTTCAGTGGGGAAAAACGTGATGTCAAATCACGATGCCTCAGCTGTCAGCAGACAGATTCTCATTTTCTCACAAAATCTCAGCCGTAAATGGCTGACTAAAGGCATACAAGCCAGCACGCTGCCCTTCTCATGCTCAATTATTCCTGTTAAACCCAGTTCTTGTCGCAAAATCTTTAGGTCCTTCAGGCACCCAACGTTCAGCCATCTGAGGTACCACATTTAACAAGACCATCCGACATTAGCTACTTAAACTTCCAGTTAGAAATTCTGAAGAGAAGATGGGACCCGTCTCCTGCAAGACCCTTACCTGGGGCCTGATCAACACACTGCACGTTCCCCAAACTGGCCACCAGCTGACATAAAACTCTGCCAACTGCACATAAGACCACAGAAGTGACCAGCAAGCACTGGGGTGAGGAGGTGGCACCAGCACTGCTTTGCCGTCCACCAGCCAGAGCCTGTCTCACCCCACTGCCGACCCCTGAAGGGGGCTGCTGCTTGGCCTAGGGAAATGCCTGGCAGATAATTCCCCAAGCAAACATCGGCATTTCACGTGTCTGTACTCATCTTAACAGGCAGACAGGTTTGGAAGTTTCTATGGTAAAAGCAATGCTTATCTAACATTCTGAGGAAAGCTTTTTAGGACCTGAAGCTGAGAAGTTTGAGGCCCTCAGTCAGTAATACGTAAGAACAGGTTTCCAGTGAGGTGTCAGGCACTGCGGTCGTTCAAAGTCATCTGCTAGTAGTAGTCACAGTTAAATGTACCACAACCTCAAATGCTCTCTTCAATGTCACCCCTGCTCATCGCATCCTGCGTTCCCTAACTGAAGCCCACTGTCTCAATACCGCAGCCCAGAACCCGGCAGGGGCCACACACGGGGATGTCACCCAACATCAAGATGGACAAAGCTGGATTTGCAACAGCACAGATGGACCTAGAGGGTGTTATGCTAACAGAAATAAGCCAGGCAGAGAAAGACAAATACCATATGATTTCACTTACACGTGGAATCTAAAAACAAAAAGTGAACAAAATAACAGCAGACTCTCAGAAACTGAAAAGCAACTGGTGGTTACCACGAGGAGCAGCTGGGTGGGTGGGTGGGTGGGGTAGGTGAGGGGGATAAAGGGCACAAAATCTCAATCATCACAGAGGTTGATCATGGGGAAGGAAGTGCAGTGTGGGGAAAGAACACAGCCACTGATTCTGTAACATCTTCCTACGCTGACAGACAGTAACTGCACCAGTGGCACTAAGAATTTAATAATGGGTGTAAGAGCTGAATCACTGTGTTGTATACTTGATAATATACTTGATATATACCAATATAATATTATAGATCAACTATACTTCAATAAAAAAGATGGACAAGGCTGGGCATCACCTGGCTAGAATACTACATCAACTTGACTGGGTGATACTATCTCACATAGCAAGACCCAAGGCAACGCTTTATACAATAGAGAGTCCCAACCAGGACAGACGCAGAAGGAAGGAAAGGGGCTCATCCCGAGGCCGGGCTAAAAGACGAAGAGCTGGTGGAGGCGGAACAGCAGGTGCGTGTTCCTCTTGTTCTTACCCTGAGAGCCCCTGTGCGCGCCAGACCCCGTGCAGGGCAGAGAAGACGTTCCCATTAGCAGTGCTGGAGCCAGCCTGCACGGAAAGACAAGAGAAAGCCATCATTATCTCATGAAACTCCCCGGTGTACAAAAGGCTCTCAGGTACCATCAGATGCAGGGCTCCTGAGCACGCTCACCAAGGGCAGTTTTCTAGACTGGGGATCAGAACCTCTGCATCTCACTGGACCAAAAGCCCTTACACTCAAACCCCCAAGGCAAGCCCTTGTTTGGCCCAGGCCCCATGGGAAGCTGCTTTTTTTAGCTTCTCATTATCAAACTGAGCAGAGCTCACAACTGTCTAACAGGAAAAAGACAAAGCAATTATTAACTTCTCTTAGAAGGACTGGGAATAGTCAGTATAACTGGAACTTAAATATGAAACTCACTGAAGTCCCTAATAACACACCGAATAAAGAGCACTAAGTTCACTTTCCAACAAAACTGGCATTCTCAGGCTTGGCCTTTCTACCTGTCTACTAGAATTCTGCCCTTGTTTGTTCACTTTTCCACGAGGAGATGGCTTTTTCTTTTTTTTACTGCTTTGGTCCAGATAGGCTACATGCATTCCCTGAAGTGTCAATCTAGCTTCTTTAAAAGTGATTTTTCTCCTTACTGAAAAGAATCTTTTAACCATTCTGACAACTGTCCTAAGTCATCCAGTTAAGGCCAAGTGTGCTTGTGTGGAATCCGAGGTGCGGATCAATCACCAGTGAAATGGGATAATTTGAAAGGAGTATTACGAAGCACAAGCCCTACCAGCCCTGCTCGCTTACATAATGTAGCTGAAGATGTTTTTGACAAGCTGAAATGCTGCCCAGACACTGGGCACAGCAATTCCTGTGGGAACTACAGGTCAGCGTCAGTTTCCTTAGTCAGTCAACACGCAGCGTCAGGCTGCCATTATTGGTGAGCGGGAAACCACTTTTACTCACTTTATATGCGTGTAAGCTCTGGTGCTAACAGCTGCGAGCATCTGTTATGTCTACCTTACATTATTTTACCACTTACCTTCGCCAACATGATTCTTGTTTTTGCCACGTCCAGGGGTGTGGTGACTGCAGCCGCAAATCCACCTGTGCATATAAAAAACATACTCAACGCACAGGTGAGGCAGTGTTTACTGTATGACATGGTGTTCTATGATTTTTTATTTTGTAATTCCTCATAACTCTGCAAAAGTCTTTTCCTATCATGTCCACTAGACTGATTCAAGAATAGGATGCACACAAGCAAGATCTTTACCCCCCCACCACTCCCACTGCTCTTACAGTGATAGTGACCTGCATATAAAAGAGGTGACAAAGTAATGCTTTACACCCTCGAGTTAAAAATCAAGACCCCTGCAACGAATCTTACCCTCACCCAGAGCAGCCAACGCCTGGGTGTGTATGTGCTGATGGAACTACGACCAGACACCTACGCCTGACACGAAAGGCTCCCTCCCGGCTCCCCTGATTCTCCGAGGGCCCAGGCCCTGGCCCGTTCCATAATCTGACCCAACTCCCATCATTTCTGCTCAGGCAAAATGGGCAAAAATAAATGTGTATCACTGGTGGTATTTTGGTACAACTGGCTGGATTCTTCAAATTGAAAGCTTTCTGCATTTCCAGGCTTCTGACAACAGGCCAGCAGGAGTAAGAACATTTCTAAGCTCCCTTCTGCATGTTGTTAGCACCAGGCTGCATTCAGTAGGCATTTGTCCCTACACCTTCTCGCCTGTGGGATGCCCTGACAAAATACTTTTAAAACTATTAAGAGTGTCCACATCTATGGACAGAGGAGTTGGGACCATTTTAAAACAGAAACCAGAGTATATGGTGTCAATATTTAATACTATAAGAAGATATATTTTAAACCCCACAAGACCCTAAAGAAACAGCGAAACAGATGTAATAAATCCAAAAGGGCTTCCTAAAGATTCAGCTTCCATGAGCTGAGGTGACACGGGCAGTTGTGCAAGTGCAGCATGGAACAGATGTGTGAAGGAGGCTGCACAAACAGCACCTGCTCCATCGAAGTTCTGTGGCACGTGGACAGTTAGGAAGGTCATTTGAGCTCTGCCAAGTAGCTTTCTGAAAATGTCACCGAAACAAGGTCGTTACACTGAACTCCTCCATTTGGTGACATTTATTATGGCGCTGACTGTTGGAAGGATGTATCCCTTTCTGCTTTTATGTTCCATTTCTGGCTACTCAGAAATGACACACACCGTGGGGCTAGAGAGTATCTGTTAACATGAACATTCCGGCTCCCTGCACTGCTTAGCGCTGGTGTTAGGAATTCAGAAGTTGTCTGAAACTCAGAGACTTACTAAATTTCAATTATTTAAAAATTTTGAGGACCGACCCCTGAAATCTTACTCTTGCAACTTCTTAAGCACATATTCTGCCCTAAATGAGTAAATACATTTTTGATCACAGAAAAGGGTCCAGGAAGGCTTCACATCCATCCACCAAAACTAAATAAATAAATAAAATCTAAGGAAGGGAGAAGGAGAAAAAGAAAGACCACGAAGCTGCCCCATCCCGGAGCACCCACTCCACATCCTCACCCTGCGTGGCAGTGTCGCCCTTCCTGGTCGGCAGGGTCAGCGGGGCCTGGCCAGGAGCTCTTCTTTGGGATCAGAAAGACCAAGGCTTCAATCCCACCTCTCTGACTTACTTGGCCTTGGGTGAACGCCTTGTTCTCTAGGTAAACTATCCTATAATATAGGGACGGTCCTTTGCTGGCCCACGTTCTGGTGGGGAAAACAACGCTCGGAGAGGTTCAGGACTTGCAGAATGTTTTACTTAGTGCAGAGCTGAGACCTGAATTTTCTGACTCCAGAACCTGAGCTCTTGGTCACAGGGTCTTCTAGTGACCTCGATTTTTTTTTATCTATAAAACACAGGGATTGAATGAGCCTAGCCAAAGTCCAGAAGAATGGCTGGCTGACATTAGTGCTCAAAGGAATTAGCTCCTTTCTGGGCGGGCAGATGATGTCTGATTTTTCTTCACATCTTGAGCCCAGCACGCACAGTAGGCGATCAAAAATGTTTTCTGGGTGTCCTGGACAAGTGTCTACAGTTTTTACAAACTGAAGACTGCACCTTGTTCTCTAAAAGGCCAGGGGAAGGGCAAGCCGAGAGCTACTGTGTGTGCTGACTCTCTCTGCCGTGCTGGGACTGTCCTAGGTACTCGGGGGGATTCTTTTCTTATTTGCATTGGTGTTACTATTCCACTTGACAGACAACTTAACTTGCCCAGGGTCTCACTGATAGCACGGAGCAGGACTCAAAAAGTCACGTGTATCTTAGCTACAGCAGGAATGCGGTTTCACTACACAATGGTCTTGATATATAATAAACATGAAAATATGGCTGTTAAAACTCAGAAGTACACCATTTCCCTATTTGAAAGGTTCACAGACTATCCTAAACCAACACAAAAGACTTAAAAATTGGCCAGGACATGACCTGTCTCTTGTCTGACCACTTAAGCTTTCACGAATCACCTATGCTGTAAAGTACTTGTCTTCTAATAAATCAGGATACTGCACATCAAACTTATTTTTGGCCATTAGCAGACGTCCACCATTCCTTTCCTGTGGATGTCTGCCAATTCTCTCGGGGAGATTTCTGCTTCCTGAAAGTAATATGAAGAAAAGCTAGAGACAAAAACATACATGCTTAAAGAGGTCCTGATTTTACTACCTTGATGGTAACTGTATTTTATGAAAGTTATTAATCAACTTAGATGGCTTCAAATATCAAACTGCTTGAATTCAGAGACCTCAGGATGTTTTCTATGAGATTGCAAACAGGGCTTGTGAAGATCACGCAGCAGAATAAGTAGTCGTCGTGGGGGCAGGGCAAGGAAGTGGGGCAAGGAAGCGGCACACCTGCAGGTAGAAGGTACTTCTTTCCTACATTTCACTTAAGGGGATTGTAAAGTGCTGGTAATAAAGGCAAGGAACATGCTAACATATTAGACAGAAAATAATTACTTGGCACAGCAATCGCAGGCTGCTTTGGTACTCAAATCCCAGGTTTAACACTTTTCGACCGACTTCCCTAGACTTGGGCTTTCACTGAATGGCAGGCTAACTGCACCCAAGCACCAGACTCAGGAGAGGCTAGACTTTAACACCTCACGTGTCCACAGGGAACAAATGAAGGGTCCTTATGCTCTCCAGACAAAGGGGCCGTCTTCTTACCACAGGTCTGGAGGAGTTACCTCAAGGCAACACCAAATGTGGTGGGGGCAGCAGTGGGCAGTGAGGCCACTCATCGCCCCTCCAGGGCCTGGCCTCCCCTCCCCAGATCAGCCCGGGAGCAGGAAGGGCATCTGCATCCACCTCTTTTGCATGATCTGCAGACAACTGCCATGGACGTGTTTCCGTGTGTTAGAGACTGTGTCAGTCCTTCTCATTTGCTACCCAAATAACCCTTCACCCTATTCTAGAGTTTGAAGCTCTGCGGACATCTATGGCTCTCTCTGTCTCCTCCTTTCTCTCTCCCCACGGAATGTAAGGAGGTGTAATTACAAGAAAGTGGTCAAAGAACACTAGAGTAGCAACTATCATTATGGTAGCAAAGGTCGTAATTACTTAGACTGAATTACGGTTTTAGGTTTAGGATTTAACTTGAAGAAGTTGGCAAAGGCCTTTCTTTCTCACTCTAGTTTAACCCCTGACCAGAAGCCAAGGGAATTTCTGAGCATGACAAGCCATCAACACCTCCTATCTCAAGGCACATTTTTTGCTATTTGTACCAAGCAGTTTGTAACGCAAGCATGGGCAAAGAAGAGGGCCAAGGATGGCACAGAGAGCACTTTACCTACAATCATTTAAGCATTTTCAAACTGGAAAAGCACACGGGGACGAGAAATCTGATTTCTGATTTAAGGGCAAGTCTTATCACTCACTGCCTTCATAGCCACGCGAGGCTGAAGCATCTGAAAGTGCAGCGCATGTCAGACCTTAAAGGGCTGCCCAGGGTGGTAAGCTGGTGCTCACCTCTCTACAGCGGGTACTGCCCAATGCCGCAACATACTTGTAGAAATCCCGCTTTTCCACAGTGTGGAGTATTTTCAAATGATGTTTATCATTCAGAAAAGATTTTTAAATAGTAACCTTATTACTCTGTATCAAATTTGCACCAATTAAAACCTCAAAACAAAAGGAAACAAGAAATGTATTTATTTTTTGCTAAATATAGATGTGGATCCACTAACAATGGACCTTTGCAGACCTTGGACAAACTCCTTTAGTTATCAGAACCTCAGCTAAAAAATAAGATGATTGTATTGGAGGAGTTTTTAAATCTACACACTATTAGAGCAGATGATTATCTCCAGTAGCTTTATTAATGTGACACTATTCTTTCAATACAGTTGAGAATTTGAATTACTAAGCTGATAATGGCTTTTTGTTTTCTGGGTGTTGGTTGTTTTTAGTGAGGAGTAATTCCTCACATCTGTTCTGTCATAGATCACACAGTAGTAATCGTGCAGTATCTCCCCTATCTCTGAAGTAACCCCCGAAGGCTGGGAGGGCTGTGTCTACATTACAGGCCAAGACACTGGTGCTCAGGAAGGCCCTAGGGTCTCATTCCTCAGTTGAGGGCAGAACTGAGACTTGACAGCGTTGTAAGTCCAGCTCGTTGGCCTGCCCTAGATATGTGGATCTGGACAAATCCGCTGCCTGCCCCACATGCCTTCCCCCAGTGCTGCAGGTCCTGGGAGAGCCACCTCACACGAGGGGCCTGGCCCACAGGGCCCTGCCTGCCCTCTCTCCCCCAGCCCCCACCTTCTGACTAACCTAAGTGCTCAGGGTGTGCTCCAAAGCATTGCTCAGAAGACGGAATTATAATGAATGCAAATTTCCTGAACAGAAACAAATGCAATTGTAAGCAAGTCTCCGAATTAGCTACCTTAAGGAATGGGACCACCAAATGTATACTTCTTCTTTCAGTACATGGAACTTTTAGGGCATTGTTAAGTTTAAGAAGTGCCCTTCCTTATCCAGAATAACTAAATTTCCATACTGCTAACTTTGTCCCCAGGGCCCAGAAGGGTGTCAACAAAAACACACTCTCTCTTAGGGGCTCAGGAGTAAAGACTCCTGACCTCTGGAAAATGAATCAAGACTACCTACTCATTTAACACAGCAAATGACTATGTGTCATGTGGAAACAATTACATATCATAATCAATCTGAGCTGGTTTCCAGTCTAGAGGCAGAATTCTTGTTTTTGATCATGAATTTTACAAGTCAAATGGGTCCAACAGTTAATAAAGGATCCTATAAAATGTTTTCTCTTTTCTCAATCATGTCAACAAAACACCCAATCCAACAACCACTAAGCAATTTGGAAAACAATTATTTTCTAATAAAGTCAACATCCTGAAAGCACACAGTTGTCAATTTACTGGCTTTGCATCTAAACTAGCAGTTCACAATTCTTGGGCAAATCACAGCTTCAACTTACATCAACTGTAATTCTAATTTACCTTTATATGCAACAACAAAATGTACTTATTAGAAAGTAAAACCTGTCACTTGCTACATTTTTTTTTAAGCATCTGAGTTCTCATTAAAGCCTCACTGGAAAATGCATACCACTCAGTGATGGATAACACAATATTGCATACTGTCACTTTGCTCTTGGGTGAAGGTCTAGAGAATGGCCAGATGTTGAGATGTCCACATTTTCTACACAGAGCGGTTTAGCCTTCGGTAAATTGTGGAGCGGCCTCTGCTCTCCTGACACTAGTTAATCTATGGTGCTGTCAAACATGTCACATGGACTGTGAATCATCGCCTTCTGCAGAAATCGCTCACACCCCCAAAGCACTGCTCAAGGCAGACAGCTGCGCGGGCAGCCCTGCACCCGCGGCACGGCCCTCCCACAGAGGCCTCTATAAATCATCTTTCAGATAATCCAAGGGCCTGAGTGAAGGCTTTAATAAAGATAAAAAGAAAAAGAAAATTTTGTCAGAAACAAATTGGTTGTCTTTCAAGCAGACACCTTTTTAGCAGGGTTTTTTTTTTTTCTTTCCCTCAGACACTTTTTTTTCTCAACCAACTGGTGGAACTCTCTTCATCCAAACAATCTGGAATTTCTGAAGAATGCCGTTTTTGCATAGTTAATATTTTCACATTTTTCTCCCCCCCTCTTTGGTCTTTCCCAGTATAATATAATCCTTTGCACCTGCGAAAGCTCCACAGACTGCTGACTGCCAAGAATCCACCACATGATCTTGCCTCCAGGACCAGAGGGCCTGTGTTTAAAGAGAAAGAAAAATACAAGTTATTAAATATTTGAATTTATCGGAACCTCCTGTGGGTTAGCTTTGGGGATGGGAACTTAAGTGAGAAGCTATTTTGGTGACATTCCTCCCTGATGACATAAGTGATTTTCCCAAGGACTTAACTGCATTCGAAAATAAGTCAAAGGAGGGTGACAGATGCATTGGACTGTACAAAGGAAACAATTTTCAAGGACTCTATGATACACACATACATACACCCACATTTGTGTGTATGGGTATAAATAAAAACACATACCTAAGACAATGTAACATTTAAAATTGTTCCCACATAATTCAAACCATCTAAGTACCATAACTCACAAATTAGTCCACGGCAGTGTATGCCAAATTCCTCAGTTCTTTTTTT